AACTCTGAATGATGAGAGATAGGAGTTTGAAGGGAAAAAATTATTACAAGGGGGAATATTGTAGCAAGAGAGAGAGAGAGAGAGAATAGTTTCAAAGTTCACATTAATAATGTGAATCCCTCGTCTGGCATGATCCAGGATGTCCCACAAGTTCAATAATCCTCCGGGAAACTTGGAATGTCAACAAACATCGAATATACGAAACTTCGCTGGTAATAGGAGCGCATGCGAAATGTAATGCATCGGTTATACGAACACGCACGCACATTCAAGGCTTTATGTCATAGACATAATTAATACTTACCGTTAAGCACGTACCGACTAGGTACCTTCATTGGTATCGCTATACCATTAGTATCAGCTTTGGGAACGACATTAGCGTTCTACGACACTTTGGCTATGTTTATGATTAAACCTACGTCTACTCGTACATCTATGATAGTAAGCTACCTGATCGTACCTTGTACGATATCGTGTATATTTATTACCATTCGATTATTAATTTATATCAAGCAAAAATAATCCCTTAGAATTTTTCACTCTACGCTGTTTTATTAATTTTTAAAATTAATTTATGATCGAGATAAATGTTTCCATGTATCTACTAATGATCCTTATACCGTCGTTTATCGTTCATGTTCAAAGAAATTATGCATTCCATTTTAAGTTCAATAATAACGTATGTTATAGTTATAGGACTCATGGGATCTGGTATATTTCATTATGGGTACATACATTTAGATAGATACAACGTATAATCGAACCTTCGAGATATCTATACTTCTATCTACTATTACCCCAATCATAACTGTTAAACTACCCTCACCAACTCTCGAAAATCTAATCCCCGATTCTACTATTTACTCGATACAATTTTCTCCAAAGACACCAGAGAGAGAGAGAGAGAGAGAGAGAGAGAGAGAGAGAGAGAGAGAGAGAGTAGTTTGATAAAGAAACTAAATTATTTTCGAATCATTACGATGTTAATTACAAACGCTTAATATCTATGCAACAAATATCTTTCGAACTAATTGGTAATTATTATCGATAGCAACGTAAATGATACGATCGTAAACATTTAAATATGTTCGATTTGTAACTTTAATGTTTCATAAACCCTCATTAATTAATATCGTTCTTTGGTCCCTTTAGATTCCATCTGTAATGCTTTTACATTAGTTAATGTACATAAATATAGTGATTTTAAATGGTCACAGTGTAACCACCTATCGCGTACGATCATTGATTATGGATAGGGTGAATCGTCCGATGAATTATTGCAATAGGTAGATCGCGCTGTTTAAACGAGGAATTTTCGGGGAATACACTGGCTGATGGGCAGCATATACCAGTTATCGTCGATGTAACACTCGGATGATGCCGTGATTACTGCGACACCGGGAGAATTAATTGATACAGTCACCGATCATACGGCCATTCGATTTCGAGCTAACGCGAGCTACTATTTAGCTCGATTATATACGTGAATAACTTCTACGTTAATATCTTTGCTTATTCCTACAGCTTATCTTTCTCAATGTAATAGTTCTATAGATCGTTTAAAATGAACAACTTTTTTCTATATCATAATAGAAGAGATAATTTTCCATTCGATGTGTAACGAAATTAGTAACACGTGAAATGTACTGCTGCACATAAGATTTTAGTACATAAACACCTGCCATGGCACTAGTAGTGCATGGCACAGTATAATGCACAGAATATTGCAACCTTCCACCTTGGAAATTTTGAATATAGAATTTTCTAACTTAGTTGCAGCAGCAGTGTGCAGGAAAGGGTAACCTTACACTTTTTAAAATTCTGCATTTAAGGGTTTAGTTATACACTTACTTTAGTAAAAAAAAAAGAAAACTATATCAAACACATTTATAATAAACATTCGTAGAAGCTTGATGCATTACTGATTCTGTTGATAAGATAAATTCCCATTGTTGTTTCCGGTACAGTTAAAAAGAAAATAAATTTGCGAAGTTATCTGTGCTTTTTCGTGAAACTTCTAAGAAAGAAAGAAAAAAAAAACAAATGGGAAAATAAAGAAACGTATCAGTGTTGCACGATCGGTACGATTCTTCAACGACATACTAATCGTTTCCGTCGTACGATTTAACAATCCATTTGTTTCTTCTGAGAAAGAATAGGAAGAAAGTGTTAAAAGACGTGATAAGCTCTGGAACTGAAAGAACAAACGGAGAGAGCATTGTCCGTTGAAATATATATATACACAACTGTATACACTTCTTCGGTAACGTGTATTCGTGAGGTACATTAATCAGGACTGTAGATAAAGAGAATCGTTGTTGAGAGAGAAAGAGAAAGATAAAGAATTTCTACGGAACCGTGATTACTATACTTTGTAATATATACGTACGTACACACAATACATATAATAAATAAAAGTATTAAAATAGTCAAATAGAATGAGTTAAGCTGTGCGCGAGATATAAAGGAAAATATTATATTATATTTAATAGAAATATGAAATTATTCTGAGAGAAACAAAAAAATCTTATTATATTTTTTGTTTTATATTATATATTTCTATATAACGGATATTAAAATAAATGCAGACGTACTCGACAGATGGTATTTTTTAATATCTTAAAGATGTTCCATTTGAATAGGTAAAAAAATATCAATTTCCTATCGAGAAGAAAGAACTGAGTTCGACGTCTGTAAAATATATATATATATATATATCAAATACATTTGATTACAAGTATTCAAATAATTCTTAATTCTCTCGTCAAATGGTAAAGTGTATTTCATCTTTTTCTATCGAAGATGAAAATACTGGGATTATTATTCGGATAGGAGACATACCTATCATATATTTGAGGAGGAACGAAACTATCAGACATAACATCCATATAACTATATATGTGTGTTTCTATAAGCAAAGAATCTCTGTCGAATGCGTCGCATTACGAGGGTTTAAAATGTGCATAACAATATCGCTTCTTTCCAGCGACGTATCAATAACTCTGCATAAAATATTGTCATACGCCGATACACATAAGCACGATATTCTATAGGCATCTATCAGTTTTCTGTTATATATATATATATAAAAAAATACGTACACATATGTACATATATGTGTATGATAGTAAATGTCAGCACGTATGTACGTCTCGTACGACGGAATCGTTTTCTCCTTGAAAATCGTTTTTACGTAGATACATCGATGATGAGCGAAAAATATCCATTACTGTGAAATATGTCCAACGAATAGGAATAATCCAATACCAAAGAAAAAAGAAAAAAGTGTAAAAATATTCTTTGAAAATAAATATTTGTACCTAAATTCAATACAACGATCACACGTGTATATATAAATATTATTTTATATATTAAAATAGAATTGTTTTTATTTTTAGCAATATTTACAATACTTTATGCTCGTCATGTAATACCAATATTTTTCATTATTTGTAATTGAATATTTTGTATTTAGTATTTAAATGAAACGTAAGTCTAAAAAATATATGCAAAATATTTTATTTGCAAGTAAAAATAAAGTACATATGATAATGCTAATAAATTATCGAGTATTATCTGAAAGTGGTTTGATACAAACAGTTGTTTCCATATTAGTAAACATTTAATAGCGATTCTAGCATATTATTCTCAACGATCTAAAATAATATTACTTTCAACGAAGTACAAACAATTAAACCAACAGGGCCGTGCAAATAGAAATAGAAACATTTGCTGCCTCGATTTCGAATAAAACTGTGTGTAGGTGTATATACTCATAATACGAGTTGCTTTATTACAAGATAACACCACTTTGAAATTTATACCTAAATGTAGCTGGAGGAACTTGAAATTTGAGTTTCCGAACTGTCGAGCAAATTATTACGTAGAGATATTAATTAATACTGGTTTGGGATACAGGAAATGAATTATGTATAACCTTTAAGGATTCTATTTCTGCATTATTAATTATTGATCATAACATCAATCTAGCAAAATAATTATAAACGAAAAGAAACATAAATTAATTTTGTTAACACGTAAAAGAGAATAAAATAAATGATTAAAAATAAAAGAAGAAATGATTGAATGTCTTCAAAATCATTATTAAATCGTATTAGAGTTGTTGGAATATAAAAAGATTATAAAAAGAAAAAAGGTAGTGACACGAAGCAGATTTAGGGTGATCATCGTCCATCGGATCGGTGACGAAAGGTGAAGGGGTAAAAGAGCCGAAGTTACCCGCAATATTATGAATAACGTTGAAAATAAAAGAATCATGTGAGGAGGCGTAACTAAACGAACGGACGTGTGTTTGCACGCGCAAACGTGTTTGTGACATATGAAGACTAATGGAAACCAGAGAATTCGAGAGAAACGGAAGAAGTATAGAAATAAAGAGCTCGAGAGGTAGACAAGAATGAGAGAGAAAAAGAGGAAAAAAGAGAAAAGGAGAGAGGGTGAAGACTCGATTAAACGTCATCGGCAGGCCAGGGCCTATTCACTTGCAATTGGTTTTTCATTATGGAAACTTCTACCGATTTTATATGAAATTATAAATTTAACAAATATATATCCTAAATTACATTTGAAATGTATTGTGTTTTTAACCAAAAAGTAATAGATCCCTAAAAGCCTACTATATTATCGTTTTTTTTATTGTACATTGTGATATATCAACGTATACATTTATATAATATATCTACAATAAAATATATATAAATATATTCATTTATATATAATTTTATGTTTATAATGAAATAAAATAAATAATTGTTTTATATATCTATCTTAATCTATATCTTAGAACAAATTATATTATATGAATTTTTAATAATCTCTGTTGTTCGTAATTGGCGCCATTTTTTAATGTGCGTTTTCTTGCTATTTTAGTACAAGTGGCGTCATCTATGAGCGTGTTGACTCAACTAACGACAAAATCTTACTATTACAAATTCACATGAATGAAACTCCTATAATTCTTCCATACTTAATGACAGAACTTTGTGTTCTTTCTCATTACTCATAGTGAACAGCTGATCAGTTGTTTTCACCAAATAATATAATAAAAATACATCTAAATTTAGCACGTAGTGTGTGGCAATATTGTTCATATAAGATAACGTATCGAAAATAAAAGTCAGTAAAAAATACTTCAAAGATTAACTTAAAAAGTATATAATGACGTAGTAATGTGTATGTTTAATAAAAATTCGTTTATTATGTAAATAAATTACGAAGGTAATCAATTCTCATCTAAAGTTCTTATAAAATGTCAATTTCAATGGAGAATCTTGTTATCAAGCAACCGATTAAACGTTTGGAAATTCAAATCAACAATTTTAATGTTGCTATACCACACCATGTGAATTTATTAAAACGTCATAAGAATAATATTAAAAAAGTAAGTTACTTAAAAATAATATTGCATGATCCTTGGAATAATAATTGCAACAAAAATAATAAACTTTTATTTATAGTATGAATCTCAACAAGATTGGGAAAAAGTACGCAAAGAGCATATTAATGTTTCTAGAATTGTAAAACAATTAAAAGAATTGTTATATCAGATGGATACTCTTCGTGCTCAAGTTCTCGATAGTGATATTAATGAATTCGATAAACTTACAGCGACTGCAAGATCTAGTATGATGAATGCAATTGAGGAATACTTGGGTAAAGTATTTTATGATACTAATGGTGACTTATACATCGGTTGAAATTCTATGTTTAAAATTGGTGTATAAATTAAATGATCGTAGTTTTACAATTGGACTTACCGATATCGGGTCCGTCTTCACCCAAAGAAGAAAATAAGGATGCACAGGATGTATTTAAAGATCATGATATCCAATTGTATGAAGAATATGAGGATTTGAATCGACAGCAAGCATGTTTGCATACCTGGACCGACCTACAGGATGATATTTATCAATTACATCAACTTTTTACTGATTTCAACAAAATAGTACATGTAAGAACTGTACACTTATTTAAAGCTTTACTTGATATTGTCTAGTTTGAATCAATTATAATTTTTTTGATATAAGGACCAAAAAGAATCTGCGACGCACATAGAAACTAATGTTGAAGAGACACAAAGTAATGTGAATGAGGGTGCAAAGTTTCTAGTAACAGCATCAAGATACAAAGCAGTAACTTATCCCTTAGCGGGAGCAATTATAGGAACTTGCGTTGGGGGACCAATAGGGTTATTTGCGGGTCTAAAAATTGGTGGTCTAACTGCTCTTGGTTGTGGTATTTTAGGTAAGTTTTAATAACTTTTCAATTCAGTTTTTAATGTGACTTCTACAAGAACTTTCTAATAAGACAATGTAGAAATAAATATTATAATTTTATCTTGGATTCAATAAATAAACTAATTACAGGATTTACTGGCGGTTCCATCTTAAAGAGACAACAAATTTCAGGGGAGATTGTACGTAGAAAATCAAACAGTTCAATTCCAGAGCAACAAAACGTTAAAAAATCTTTGTCTCTTCCTGAAAAATTGAATAAAAACGATAAAGATTTGTGACATCAGGAAGAACTTGATCATAAATCGAAAGATACTAAAGTTTGCAATATTATTTAATTGCTTTCTGAGATATCAGTGTGTACTCTTTTAAATGAAACAGAATACTTTCAATCTGCTGACCAATGATCTACTTTTTTATTAAATAACAAAATTTTGAGAATATTATGTGAAGGATAACAAGACACTATCTTTGTAATATTACATGGAATATGTATGTGTATGTAGGCCAAGTTTAGACCGATGATATTCAACGCTTTAATATCATAATTTAATAAGAAGCTTCCGAGTACTAATTACACTTAGTTATCACGATGAGAAATTTTCAGTTATGTTGCTTTCTTGAAACATGTTAAACGTGTTTCATATATTCTTGTTGGATCTCAAATTACAATAAATAGCTTCTACAGCTTGAATATAAAAATATTCAGATAGATAGCTCGTACTTTGATATATATAACATATTGAAAATTTTACTAATTAATAAAATGCTTTATAAAATATCATAAATAATATATCTCTAACGTGAATGTTCGATCACAGATATGTTACTTGTATTAAACAAATTATTATTTTACGTCACAAATATGAATGAACTAAATTATGCAGAAAATTATTAACCCTCAATGTGATTTAAATTAGAATTAATTTTTGTATTAAAGTAGCTTTGTTTCGACTGATTATATATTATTTCCCGTTTGTATTTATTATTAATTGATATTATAAATTTTTCTAATTTTCAATCACTTTTGTAGATTGTTCCTAAAATGTTTTAGGGTTTATAATTGTTTGCAAACAAAAATGCATTATATATACGTATGTATTGTGTTTAATTAATTTTGTAAAGATTTGTAAGTATCTGAATAGCCTAATCTTCAAATGAAGGTTATCTTGTAAAAGTGATCACTATAAATATGAATTAATTTGCGATCTACTTACCGCGTACTTAAATGAGCTATAAGTACCTGCAAAACAATAATTACAAAAACGTTCGCAATCTTTTTTCTAGGAATTCGTGTTGTTTGATAAACGACAATATTCATTAGCAGTTTTTAAAAACTTCACGTCGGTTTTATGCCTTTTCCACGTGTCTTATGAATATGTACGACATTGCAATGTTCAAATTGTGTATTTACGCTTTAAACAGAAGAAAAACGAAGCAAATAATTTACTTTACACGATTGTATATTTTTTATACAATTATATTATATAATTAAATTAGTTCCATCAAGAAAAACAGGAATTATTTATCATCAAACTATCTCCAATTTAAGATACTAGTCTTATATCTATAAGAAAATAACATTTTCATAGACTCAGGTAGTAATATTAAATTTCGTGGTTTTTTTTAATATTTTGACACACTATAAATGATTTTAAATGTAGATAATTTATAAAAGAAACATATGAAATGAAAAAGAACCTTATTGCACTGTAAAAAAATGAATAGAAAAATTTTCAATCGGCTTTGTTCGTATATTTAAAAAAAGAGAACGGATTTTATAATTAATTAGCTTTTTGGGGTTCACTACAAAAGGCACCCAATACAGTATATTTAGCAAATAATAAAATACATCGGTGTTAGACACATTACAATACTGAAACACACAATCGTGTTATTAATATAATATATACATTTTATAATGGTAATGCAAATGACTTAAATCTAAGGACTAAAAAATTTCTACTTAAAAAAATATTAATAAATATCTAAGAGCATGTAAATATTTAAATGACTATCAACGTAGATCTGTTTAATTTTATTTTACTTTTTTTTTCACTTTTTTATTACGAGATACTCTCTATCATATTTTATTATTGTTTTAATTTAAGCATCCTGAATTCAAAAGCAACACCAAACGAAGTACACGTGGAAAATAGAAAAAGATTTACGACATTACTTTCGTTCGTTTCGGTTTTACTTTCAAAGATTAGGACGCTCAGCCAGGTGCACCGATTTATGGCGTATATTTTTTTTTTATTTTTTTTTATCATACTTATATATATTTGTTTTTTTTTCTGTTATAAAATCTAAATTATAAAAAGATTTCATATATGTATATATGTATACGTAAAAAAGCTTTTCTTCTCATTCTCGACAAAAAATATTGAAAAAATATTATTGCAAAATGAAACGAACCATGAGTTTTGTTATCATTTGGAACAACAATTTCCATTGGGTGCATCAGATCGTGTTTCGAGAATTTATTTTATTTCTTTTTCTACTTTTCTACAATCTATATATTCTAAATTTATTTTCTTTTATTTTATTTTTATATTTTTTTGTAACTTTAAACTCTTTTCTTCTTTCCAACATATAAAATAAACAATTTGGTCATTTTCCATAAGGTATAATTACGATACCTTGGCAGACCTTGGCAATGAGAATGGCTAACGAGTTGACTTACTTGGAGAAACAATGTAACAAAACAGAATTACGTGAGAAAGAAATTGCTGATTGCTACATTTAACGATGTTCTCTGTATTCAACTACAAATGCATTTGACATAAATAAGACCATAGTTTTAAATAATAGTCAGAACAAATAAGAGTGGTGTACACATATTTTTTTTATTTGTATTTTATCCTAATCAAGTTCATTTAATTATTTTTTATATACGATATTTGGAAAAACAATTGGATTATTATTTAAGAATTTTATAAATAATTAAATATCGTACTTTAGCATAAAAAACATATCTTTATATATTAATTAGTATTAAATAAAAAATTAAATTAATTCTACACAGATCTTGCTATTTAAAATTTAATTATTAATTTACACCACTCTCATTAAATGGTTTAATTGTTGATGCAGATGATTATGATCTCTCCTTTCAGGCCAAATATATTTCAGACTTTATTTTCATAAATATGTTTTGAGAAAATAGTATCATCATTCATTCGCTTATACGATACGAGGAATGTATTCTCTATTGGTAAAAATAAAAAGTGGATTATAAGAAATCATAATCAGAACTGCAATATTGACTTGTAAAAAAAGAAAAACAAACAAAACAGGAAAAACAAAGAGAAAAAATAAACCATACAAGAGCGGAAAATATGCGTGGATTGTCTTAAGCTAAGCTTACCGTTGAAATTGATCATAAGCTTTTCCAAAACATCTGTCCACGACGAGTACAAAAAAAAAAAGAATTGGATTACTTTCTTTACGTAAAAAAAAAAAAAAAAGCGCGCTGATTAATGGAAAAGAAAAATTGTACCTTTTTCCTTTTTCTTTTTTTTTCTTTTTATCTTTTACACGCCACAGTAGTAGAATCTAATTAAATTTACGGGTGTGATAAAAGGTTTTATAAATGACTGACATAAAAAGAATATAATATTATATATATTTGAAATATAATCTGAAAGTAATATACGGACTATCGATTATATTACTTGTGTGGCTACATAGAGAAAAGGAAATAAAAAGAGATAGAAATAGAAAGAGAAAGAGAAAGAAAGAAAGAGAGAGAGAGAGAGAGAGAGAGAGAGAAATAGAGAAAGAAAGAGAGAGAGAGAGTATAAACCTTTAATATTACATTATATTACAAAGTGTTATGTGTATGTGTGCGCATTAATTTGATATTCCCTAAGGAAGATGTAGTCGTTAATGGAAACTTAATTTCTTTGAAAATGACAAAAGAAAAAAAAAGAAAAAGAAAAAGAAAACCCTATTGCAACTAATGCAATTCGATTTCGAAAACAACAAGGTAATCTCTCCTTTGGATCATCTCATCTTGGAAATCGTAATATTAAAATTTACTTTCCAAAGATTTACAGAGCGAACACAATGTGGACTTGGAATTATTTATACTTACAATATAAATTAAAAAGTATAAAAGAGTATGTATACGTGAGAAATATTATTATTAGCAATTTTGTCGAGAATCCTTCGATCGTGTTTTTTTTTGGGGGAGGGAAGAAGGGGTCGGAAGGGGTTGTATGAGGAATGTGCCAATACGTTTGAAAAAAAAAATATATATATATATATATTAAAAAAAAAAAAAAAAAAAAAAAAAAAAAAAAGTAAAGAAGGACAACCTAGAGCGATTAGGTGCATGCCATCGAGTATAATTTAGTACTGTAGCACATATTTTACTTCGGTAGGAGCACACATTTTGATGTATCTAACAATACAAGTTCCGAGCACATTTCTGGATTTAGAAACACGTTATAAGAAAATATGCATATTGTGGTTTAGTTCTGATGAAAATAATAAATCAGTGGAACATACGATACAGGCGCGCCATAACTGGCGTATTATCATAATGATCGCGCATGAGTCGCGTAATTAAAGCGTATCAAAAGATAGACTCACTCGAAAATGATTTCAATATGTATTACACCGTCACAACTCTCTCGACAACGAGAACAGTTAATAAAATCCATTCTGTTTTTCGATTAGCGTGATTACAACGGTCGTCGAAGATTTATTTATGGTCGCAGAGGAATTCATCTTAAGCGTAATTTCAGAGCTTTTGTTTTTTTTGTTTGAATCTGTACTCGACATACACTCTAACTCATTTCTTCCTTTTTTCTTTTTCTTTTTTTTTTCTTTCTTTCTTTTTGTATGAATTTTATGTTTCTGTTTATTCGAAGTAATTATTTTCGCACAGAATAAAATTGTGATATCTCGAAACTCTACTACAATTACGTTTACGCCCTTTAGAATATTATTTCTCTTTTTTGCACCTAACTAATATGCCACTTAGACCACCTGCACATCACGCTACATCGAACGTAAGAGACATAGACGTTATTTAAATGTATGTAATAATTGCGAGTGAATCAACACCGCGCGTTATCTCTATTATTTTCTGTCCTGCGAAGAGTTTCAACTCCCGTTTGGACATCGTCGAGCGAGTTATAGTTCAAAGATTGATGGACATGTCTTGATCGTAAGGCGTTAGATTGGTGTCCGAGGAAGAAGCTGTGGTAACCGTTGCCACCGTTGCACTGCTTGGTGATTGTAATGGAGTTGAGGTTGTTGGTAAATGTGACATGGGACTTTCCAATGTCGAATTCCAATGACTCCTTTCAGTGCCATCACCACCGTCGTCCGAGACGATCGATATATCAGCTATTATTCCGCTTTCTGCAAGCGAGGGATCAAGAAAACAGATCTCGCGAGAAAGACAATAGGAGGATGCTAAGCTCGACGCTGATAATCGTCCGACGAACGACTTACCGACGCTGCACTGACTGTTTAAAGTAGTGCTTCGATGATGAGGTCGGGGACTCGTATCCAAACCGAGATTATGGGTGGTAGGTGGTCCGCTGCTACCACCGCTACTCGATGATGAACTTACTGAAATTACGCTGTGCGGTCTTCTACTGCAACGTCCGGAATCTTCTGACATCGAGACTGCTATCGAGTTTCTGAATCTTGGTGCTGCTTTTGCATGGGAAAAAGAAAAATCAACGATTATTAATATCATCAAAACTTGTTCAAATGTTAACAATTTAATATTTTTCTTATTAGGATTTAATAATACAATATATATTTACTTTTCGAAAGTTGAGCTACGCTGATGGAACGATCGTTTATTTGATCAGCGCTAGGCCTAATGTCCAAACAAGGTTTGTTTCCTATGCCCATGCTCGACATCTCCGCCAGGCGCACTTCTAAAAACCAAATAAAGTCAACGTTAGTTACTCGGTCGTATTTTTTACTCGCTTGCGCGATCCTAAGAAATCTAAAAGTAGATTGTCACCTCTGTTTCGAAGCGCCTGCTTCCACAGAAGATTGCTCAATTCCTCGGTCCAAGCTTTTTTTATATCCTCGCTTGCGCATTGCAACGTGTACGTGTCGCCAGGCTTCCTTTTGCGGAACCAAATCTCGAATTTTGTTGGTGAATCCGCGATCACTGCGGTTAAACCTATATCCGTCGTTTTGATACTGTGTTTGTAGATGTATATGTCAAGGTTCTGTTATCAACAAAAATAGACGATTGTGTTAAAAATTATTTGTTTATACATTACATCTACAAATATCGTAAACAATTTTCGGTTGCATATAATAAAGAAAACTGCAATGCGAAACGATACAAATTTCGGCTTATCAATCATCTTTTATGCAACGGGAACCAATGTAATGTAATTTTGATTTTATAGGGACACCCCAAATTGTCTACAACATTTTTTAGATACAACTTAATAATATTTTACATAATTCTTTTACCTTTCTGTCGGGGAATCTTCTCGCTTTACTGAAGAGTATCAAATCCTCGAATAGAAAAACTTGACGTAGACACTTCTTTCCTTTACCTTGCCAAACCAAAAATTCATTTTGTCTTAACAGTCTACCTTGCTCTTTGACGTTTACCTAGGATAATGAATTTGCCTCGTTAAAATTGCGATTACTAAAGGAGACGGCTTTAGAATTTTTTTGTAGATATTCAACGTACGTCGCAATCTCGGAGGGAGTCCATCGCCAGGAGGTCATTTCCATGCCTAAGTTGGAACCGTACCATCTGTTCAGCAGCTCTTAAATCAGCCTCTCCCTCCACTACTGGTTTTACGCTATCCTCTTTTTCTTCTTTCTCATCTTTGCCAGACATTTGTTCGGAAAGATCCGTCCCAGCTTTGACTAATTGTTGGAGGAGCAATGCATACTTTCCCATTCGTTGGACAGGTTTTAAAAGATAACTAGCTAGATCCATTTTATCTCCCAGTTCCATTTGTTTCTGCTTGAAGAATGCTGTCCCATATTCGGCCATTAACGAGTCCGAATTTGGTTTGTTCTTATTGTAAAGTGCATAAAGATAAAATTTCTTTTCCTAAATAAAACCAAAAAAGAAAATATATTAAAATCATTTTTTCGACTACTATTTATCCGATCAATATTTGAAATATTATAGATTATTCGTATTTGTGTTATAAAATATTAATGTCTCGTTTGATATTATATTTTAACAGAAGATACATACGTGTCTTAAAAAGCATTGTCCCACGAGCATAGGTGACTGTTCACATTGTTCTAACTCCCGTAAGAAATGTTGACTATGGAATTCATAGATCTTCTCGACGTTACCAAAGATTACGTTTCTTTGACCTCTTAAAGCTTGGGGTATATCCTCACGCACGAGCTCCGGGATGTAATTCTTCAATAATCAAAGTAAAGAATAAGACTTTGTAATATAGTAAAAAGTTAACAATCGTATGTTATTTCTGTAACTTTTATTATACCTCTATTATATATTCCAACGACTTCACATAGTCTCGTTCAGTTTGTATCATCTCTCTCATTATAAGAAGTATCGTTCTGCAAGGTGAAATTCTTTATTAAGGACATCTTACATGTAATAATTCCTTATGACCGCATAATTGAAATTGCGGTTTTCAGGGAACTACGGTACGTTGATGAATCGTGGAATATAAGAGAAAGTTAGAAAAATCGTTAAATTCATCAACGTAGGGATCAAAGTTTGTACATTTTTTCAATGGTGTCTAGTTCGTTTGTTTTGTTTTATTTTTTTATTTTGTCGAATTTCAAACATTTTTAAACCATACTTGCGTATTTTCTTTTAAGTGGAATCGTGGATTTTGCTTCTCCATGTTAGAACGATCGATTATTTAAATATTTGTATTAAATATTAAATGTAAAATATTTGGAAGAAATAAGAATAACATAAATCATACTTTTTGGCTTTCATTCCGGGTGCTATACTAGCCGCCCTATGAAGATGCGAATTAACCGGAGGTTTGACCAATCTTCGGGGTGCTGGACTTCTCGGTGGTGTTCTTGGTGGTGAACAATCGAGAAGTTGTTCAGCACTTTCCCGAAGTTCGGCAATGTTGTCCAATACCGGTCGACCTCCACTTCCGGCGGATCCAACACTTTCCATCGGACATGCGTAAGATGCGGTGCTATCACTATCGTCCCATGAAGTTCCTATAAATAATTTTTCCTTCTATATTCTATCACTCGCTAATATTAACAAATAGATTTTCTAAGAAATAAAAATATATTTGCGAGTAACTTTTGCGCGATATTTTTTACCGTATATAACGAAGAGAGAATCGTTTAACTTTTTAAATAAAACTATAACACAGAAGTATTTTTCGAACAAATGCGTATCATAGTTCAATGATAAAAAACATATAACAACGACACATCCATCATCATTCTATCTAAGGCCTGTCAATCTTATCACATCGTCGTTGCAGCATGCTATTGTATTACGTACTTTTCATGTTGTATTAGTTTACTATTGGGTGGTCCAGAAAGTTCATGCTGTCACTCCATTTATTTAAAAAAAAATATTTCAAAATAGTCTCATGCAAAATGAAAAATAATTAAGATAAATCAGCAGGAACTTTTTGGAAGAATTGATCGTCGATAATTATTGTAATAATTGTGTCTACGAGTTAGGATTGTTTTCAAATCGATTAACTTACTCTTCGTCAAGCTGTCGTCCCAGGAAGTGGCGGAGTCCGAAGTGGCAAAAGATCTTCTTCTAGCTGGTGAACCAGGTGCCGAAGAAGTCCTAGCAATTTCTAATGCTTCCGCACACTTGCTCCTGGCAATGCGACATTGTTCAAGTAGTATCTCGTTACCGAGTTTTTCAGCGAGCGCCATCATCTCGTTGAAATGTTCCGGTGGGAGGGGCGGCCTCGCCATAAGAAATTGTTGGGATCTCCTTTCGGCGGCCACGCGAGCCTCCTGGGCCCACTCGTAAGCACGATCCTGTAGCAGACAACATCTCGACGTATCCTCGAGATACTCCCGTCTATCCTCTAATCTTGAACCAAATCCTCGCAAATGTTGTTTCAAGGATCTCGCGAGTTCACGGAGTCCGCTGGCACTCGCAGCCTCTGCGAGGTCGCTTCCTTTGTCGATGTGTCTCTACAATTTAACGAAATAAAGGATACTTTAATTGTATGATAATAATTCCAATCCAAATTTAGTTAGACACAAAAATATAATCAAATATATATATTAGGGTGAACACTAAAGGTTCGTTTTATATTAATATTTCCATAGTAAATTTTGCAAAAAAAAAGACAATCCATTATGTAGTTGATAACATTATTAATCCACGAACTTTTGCTTCACCCTAATACAAAAGTAATGCATCCGTAAGATTTGTTTTTTACGAATAAACCAATATCAATTTTTGATACTAAGATAATGACGGTCCACACGGAATACTTAGTTTCCTGATGAAAAACGATATTTTCGTGTCTGCTTTCTATGTTGTAAGCCCCCTGCCGCGTGCACATAGCAGAAGCATTCCGCCCTCGGCCGGGTAGAGGCCATAAATCGACATATGGGAGTAAATAACGTCGTGACGAGAGAAGGGAAGAAAGAAGAAAGAAAGGGAAGGAAGGAAGGAAGGAAGGAAAAGGGGCCGGGTGGGGTTGGGAAGACGAGGAGGGGCGTCATGGTTTTGCCGTATACACGTATGTATGTATCTATGGGGGATCATTGTCGAGAGAAACACGTAGGGGGGCGGTACACATAAGAAGAACGTTTACAGAAAACATATCGTAGGAACTTTTCAACGGTATGTGTATGTGTGTGCGCGATTGTCTGTTGTATGTTCACGGTGCATATTCACGCGAGCGTGAAATCCTCTTTGCCATGGACGAGTAGTAGTAGTTTATTCTGAATTCAAAGATATGGAACGTGAACAATTTCGATCGAGTATCCGTAACGAAATAAGAGTGCATATATATATTTGTTGTCATAAAACAGACGCACTACATGGATTGTCTCCGTGTTTTCGAAGCTATCATGTTAATAGAGTGAGATTTCACGAATGAGAAGGGGGATTTGTATATTTTCATCTTCTATAGTTTCATATTGTAATTGTAATATTTTTTTTTAGCGAATATATAATTTTCGTGGAATCTTATTTATCATTGTAATTATTATAAAATATATTTTAACCATTTATTATTCGCGACGTTTATGTTAAAACTTTTTTTAAAGCATTTTTCTTTTCTTTTTTTGAACGCGTTTAATCAAATTCGAATTCAAAATCATGCGAAATTGCGCATAGAATTAAAGAATCCACGTACTTTCTTTTTCGAATAATCCCATCGTTTATTCTTCGCCAAGCTCCATTTACCAAATTGATTCGAGTACATTTCTCGTATTCGTCTTTTCCACATGTACGTGACACGTTCTCTCACAAAGTTTTACCGCCTTAAGCTTTAGAAAATAAGTACGTAAGTACTATACTTTTTTTTTTCTTCTTTTCACTGTGAAGCCCGCGGGACGTTAAGTTGCGATTGTAGTTAGGACACGTGCCAAGTTACGTTTCTCTTTTCGCTATTGGAATGTTTCAATGATCAATTATAAGAAGTTCTTTAATTGAACGAAGTTATGCAGAAAGTTACTCCAATTTCATTTGAAGATTTTATTGAAAAAAAAAAGAAAAAAGAAAAGATAGCTTTATTGCAACTAAGTTAAAATTATTAATAATATTTTAAACAGCTTATTTAATAAGAAGTAATATATAATTCTAATGATTTCTAATTAAATCTAAAAGATCTAACCTCTATGTTATCCGTTTTACTTTTAACACGCGTGTTCATATTTTCAAATATAAGAAGAAGAAAAAATCATTTATAAAAAGAAAATAAATGAAAAGGATTATTTTTAATACATCGTATTAAAATTTTTAATCCATTTATAGATTACTTCTGCGTTACTTCGTTTATATTTGTGAGAAGTAGAATAATTCTAATAAATTGTCACAGACTTTTTTTGTATTATCGAAACAAACGACGACTCTTCGTGAAATTGATTTCTGTCACGGATGACTACGAAGATTATTGCTTAGAAGGGACGCGATGTATTTTTCCGGATTACAATTTTCATTGAAACGGGGAATCGCGTTCCTCCCTTTTCTCTAAAAGCAAAATACGCAATTCCATTTGAATTGATTACGAAATTCGATACACAGAACATATAATAAATCAACTCTAGCGCGCACGAAGTATGAACGATAAATTCAATGTTTCATGATATATTTCTCGTTCAATAGTATTGGTGTTTGTATGATTAAAATTTCGAATCTAACAAATGTATCAATCAATATCGTGCAGTAATAATTGTTTCCCTTCATGCATATACAATCATGTATATTAAATGTAGATGTGCGTTGTATCCTTTAGATAACTTTATGCGTGTATTGTGCATAAAATACATCTAAGTAACTTTTGATTAAGTACAATATGTCAATCAAAGTTTCCTCAGCTTGTTCTTGGTAATCGTTAAAACCATTTATCTTCAACGTCACGTAATAAATAGTGGGAGTTGTCTGTGCTGTATTCCAAAATGAGACAAAAGAACTAATCCTTGAAGTTTCGACGATAGAATTTACCAAATAACATTTCAAACGCGTTTTCGTGAATAATACTCTGGGAAGAAAAAATAGTTTCCACGTAGTTTAGTAAAATTCCGACAAAAAATTTGAATTATTCTAACTTTGAAAACATCTTGAAAGATAAAAATGTAATATAAATCTTTGAGGGGAGAGAGTGAGAGATTCTTCACCTCCTGGAGTGTAATGAATTACTTGAAAGTTTATCAGGGACGAATAATCGTTGTTTCTTATCGTTCTCCATGACAAACGGATATATAATACAATATTTATATTTTAAATACAAGATAGACACTTAGAAGTAAAAATTGTTTAAATGTATCAGGGATTTATAAATTACAGTTTGTTTTAAATTTTTAATTATACAATCCTCTTAAAAATATTTGTTCTCTGGTACAACACATTAATCCACCAAGCTTCCTACTATAATAAACAAGTCTAATTTTATTCTAATACTCGTATATCTTAGAATAATATAATACAAATTTCGATTAAAACAGTGATGAAATTTGATTGTACAAGTGCATAGAAAATTTCCATACAAACAAGAAGTAGATGTCATAGTTGACTTACAATGCTAGTCGTTAATTAAACGTTAATCGAATCGTTCGTTATCGATTCATTAATCGTCGCTCTTTCATTCGTGTGGCAATTTTTCATTTTTTATTATTTTATAGACCGGTCGTACGACCGGTATTCGTGCAACACTTTCCTGAATATTTAACGATCGCTGAGAAAAAGAACGAGATGGATGACGATGTTGTGTTAGAAAACTCGTATAATACATTTAGGTACGATTCCAAATGGTTTTTCTCGTTTATAGATTGAAACTAGTGAGGATCGACGAAGAAACACCTAGACTTTCCCATTATCGATGGGTTTAAAGGCACACCGCCATACAGATATTCCATTTAACTCGAGTGACAGGTTGTCGACCACTTAGGAATTTCTTGCAAACATACAAGTTCCGTATACTTAGATTATTTTCATAAAAAAAAAAAAAAGTAGATTAATATTATTTGTATTACTTTTAGAGTTGATTGTTTTAATTGGAGGTTTTTTTAACCATGAAGAATCCCTAACTGGTTTGATTCGCGAGAATTTTCTAATTATTTTCAATATTTATATTGATAGATAAAGATATATTTATTGAGATAGATTAGGCATCAATATATTTTATAGCATACTAATCGTTCATTCAAGGATGAATAAAAGAAGGGAAATAACTTGGGTACATCGTACTTACATACGTGATTAATTAAGTTGCATATATCTGAAACGAAACGAATGCTGTCGTAGTGTATATGCAACATTCACACACAGACATACGAGTAATAGTTCTTTAGCAACATACGATTTTAAATTGAAGAAGAGCAAATGTGTTAAACGTGCGAACTTTAGAACCACTTAATAAGAACGATCTTCTGTTTACTCTTGTTATCCAGCTTTCGTTAAAATATACGGGAGTCGTTAAAACGTGTCGTTTTAATTTATCCTCATTTTGCTTGACCAAAAGGAAAAAAACACGCAGTAGAGAAGATATCTCTCTTATTAAGTCGTTAAGTTTACATTGAACACAGAATGAACGTTAATGCGGTATCAGAAATAAATTATTTCAATAAAATTATGCGTTAACGTGTTTGCAATAAAATAAAACTCTTTGCAAAGACATGCGAGATTATTGTATCGGCACATGCGATAAATAAAATTATATTATGAAGAGAAATAATTCTTTATTATATATTATTATATCTATATAAATTATATATTTTGTGTTTTCTCTGAAAAATTAGATAACACTTCCTGCGCAATAATAAAATAAAGATAATGAAAATAAATCATATACGAGAGATTAGAAACTCCAAGTCATCCATATTACAATGATATATTTCATATTTATTATTGACCAATTTATAAGAAACTTCGATGATGTTTTAACGACGTTATAATGAAGATGAGAGAACACGTTCACGTAAATTTGTATAATATAAGAATTGATGAAAAGATTCGAAAGAAAGTCAATGTAATTTCGTAGAATTTTCTTCTCACGTATCCCATTCACTTTCACTTTCCATCTTACTTCTGGTACTGCATGTGCATAGTGGTGGTGTGGTGTTGGTGCTGTTGTTGTTGCACTTCTTACACAGCGGTATGGCAGAGACAAGAAAGACTGTAAAAAATTGTTCGCGAGGAAAACAGGTACTGGTAGCTCGTGAAATCTGTAGTCCTCGAAAGCACGTACGGCTAAGTGTCTCGAAAGATTGCATTCCAAGACCGCAAAGGTCGAATAAATCCTTTCCATCGTTTATCGTTCTCTGCCCGACGGCAGTGTAACTCTCTCTCTCTCTCTCTCTCTCTCTCTCTCTCTCTCTCTTTCTCTCTTTCCACTCTCGTATCTAGCATGAAACTCGTCTCTGACGAAGATTCACTTTAATCGTTGCGAAACTTAAACCATAGCCGTCGAGTTGTTTGAAGACCTTTTAAGGTCGAACCTCGAAGAAATTCTGATCGT